TCGTTATTTTTAATATTTAGCGCGAAGGAATTAGAAATTGAGCTATATCGGTCCTTAGCATAGCCCCTTCATATAATGAAAACATATCAATATATACACCAAGGCCTTGATATACACAATGTAATCAATATAGGCCCGTTTTAGGCATTGTCTCATATAAATTTGACCTCTTATTTCCAGTACTTTGAGTATTTTATATACCTGTTCCACCCTACCATGCATTATCAATGTCGGTCCACGTTTTGGGATTTTGAGATTTTAGGAAAATCCCCATTAACAATTGCTGAAATTTGTATTTAGTGTATATTTTGGTATACAACAATCGATTGATAGAATTGTCGTTATAGGTCCACTTTTAGGTATGTTCCCTATATCTTCACTTCAAATAACTGTCAGTATTCCTATGGTGAAGGATATCCAATTTTGCCCCGGACGAACTTAAAGCCATTTTCACTTGATATTTTTCAGAAGCCTTTTCCCACCGACGGGGCTGTAATTTGGCATTCCGTGTTCTTAAATGTTAAAAAATATGTTCGCTGAGCATTTTCGATGTAGTTCCATATTTTCACACCCGAAGTTGTTACAATTTGACATTTTGGATTCGGTGAAAAAAATTCTTGGAACCTGTGTGACTGTATAAATATTGTATGTACTCCATATCAAAAAGTGGGCCAAATGGGATCGAAAACCTCAATACGGAAAAAGATGCTAAGACCTAATAAATGTAAGCGATACTATTATTTGGGGATAATATAAGATAACCAAAACAGCCAATGCGAAGGACCTTCAATGTACCTAAAATATAACGATTATACCTGAACGATGTAAGGACTGAGAATCAGAAATACTTAACTACAGCCAATGGAGTACAACGTTTCGTATGACACAAATGTTTGCCCATGGAAGCCTTTTGATTTAGATATGGGGAACGTAAAATGGTATTTGCCTATCTGAGATGGTTTTAATACGGAAACATATTGGCATATAAGGCATATTCGAATTTGACGTGACCCAAAGCGGAATAAACATTTGCTTCAAAAAACTATTTAAATACCTTCGCAAGAGAGTTTCAGTTCAATCTATATTGATTTGATTGTGATACCTTATGTATTTTTGGGTAATATTTTTAGGTCTGATTGGAAAAATTAACTCGTCTTCCTTTTCCTGCAATTCTTTTTACGAATCTGTTTTTCAAAATCTCGATTGTTTTTAATTTATTACCATTGATTGCTGCTTATCAGGAAATGCTAATAAATTTTACCTTTTCAAAAGGGGAAGTTAGTTTTTGTCCTTAAATGCATATAGTTACTATAAATACATATTTATTTTATATTTTTTGTTTTTTTTTTAATTTAAATTTTTTCATGTTTTTCTTACCAAACAATTTTTTTCAGTTTTTTCATATATATATTTTTTTTAATTTTTCTAAGTTCTTTTTTTTTAAATTAGATTAAAAGATCTCTTCTAGAAATCTCCTACTATATATGTATGCTCTGGAACAGATACATATGTTGTATTTGTAATCTTTGGTGGTGATAATGGTAGTTGGTGGTAATAGTAGTGGGTATGTTTGTCGGTTTATTTGTGTAGTGGGGAGGAGGAGTGTTGGCGAAGATTGGCTATACTGACCCGACGGTCATTTGTTGTAGTTCTTGGGCTAGGTGGGGGATTCCAATTTAATCCCTAACAAAAACAAATTCATTATAATGATTCCAACGATTCTCTTCAACATCCACACCAGGTTTGGGTTCTGTCGCCGAACCAGCCGTACCGGAACCACAGCTACCGGCCAATCGAAAGCCTTGTTCATGCAGCATATCAAAACCTTGTTCAATAAAACAATGCTTGAGGAAGAAACGTGATGTGTAACGATCGGGACCACCATGATCGGGGTCTCGTGACTCGTTGAGTGTATCACCGAAAACTTCACGACACAAAGCCACACGACCACACACAAGGATACGTGAAAGTTTGCGGAATTTCACATCAGCCAGACCGTCTTTGCCAAATTGAAAACTGCCACGATAGCCAAGGGTTATGCTGCCGGGTGAACGTGTTTCACGCTCCTTACGCATACATGCCAACATGCCCTCCAGTTTATAGTATTCGGCCTCCTTCTGGAGGCGTTGCTTTTCACGAAAACCTTCCGGTAAATTCAGGGTCTTGTCACGTAAATAGTCGAGAATGTAACGGAAGAGCACACCGTCACGGTCGAGGAAATAGCGACCCTTGCTGTCCTTTAGCAGATTTTCACGGCTTTCGGAAAACATTTCGCATAGCAGTGAATCCTTTTCGTGGAGCAGGGAATTCAAGGTGGTGGTGTAATGGACACCGCCGACATTGAGCTCAATAATTTCAGTCATAATGCTGCCGCTGCTGGTTGTGCTTTAGACTTAAAAGTGTGTAACAGATGGTGTTGGCCCAGTTAGTTGTGGGGAGTAGTTGTTGGCGTTGTTGTTTTTTTTAAACCAGATGTTTACACGCACACACGCTGTGTTTGTTAAAAACAATTACAATTTTCCCCGTGCACTGAGTGGGGATATCACTGCGCGTGTATTGGCGTATGTCTGTGTTTTCGCACTTTATAGCCTTCAGGGATTTTACAATGATATTGTTGTTGTTACCACGGCTTCTGTTGTTGCTACTCCTGCGATTTGTTTGGCTGCTGTATAACGTGGAATGACGTTTATCTTTGCTTGTCACAGTTTTTATGTTCGCTGTGTTTGTCTTTAACAAATGGCCAACCCAAATACAAGTCAAAATGCCGAATGTTTGCTTATCACGTTTATATGGTTTTCACGTGCGGTTCTCAACATTCGAAGTTGGCCCTGTAAATTCTTTTGCACTTTAATACTCTTTAAACAGTGGCGTTTTCTTATCACTCAGTGTTCAGCCAACATATGGTGCTGAGGATTTTTGCGGTTGGGGGTTTTTGCGCTTTTCGATTCCCACTTTATGGCCACAACCACCACTTCAGTTTGACACAGGAAATTGTTTCGTTTACTGTGCGCTCGTTCGCTTCACTGACACACAAAATTTCTTAAGAAATTCCTAAGAAAAAATTCCTTTGCCAATGTTCCGTTAAAACACTTCCTTTTATTGTGATATGTTGGGTTTTTCTTTTTCTATTCAATTTTATATACCCAATTTTTCTGCACGCACTTTTTTAGTATACCTTTAGGCTTCGAAAAACCCCACTTTTTATGTTATAGTTTTTTTTTCGTCGTTTTTTTCTTCACTTTTATCTCCACATATATTTATTATCGGAATATTTATGTATTTGTTAATACATATATATGAGCGACACGTTGCAAATTGTGTATGTATATGTGGCTATTAGAACTTCATTTATTACGTTAGGTCCACTCGACACTGCTAGTCCGCTAAAGTTCGTTCGTTCGCTTTGAATTCCCAAAATGAACTGAATTTATTTGGCGGCCGTGCTATCTGAATTGTTTGTTGAATGTTTTTGGAGTTTTATGGTCACTCTCTCTCTCTTGTTAATACATTTTAACGTTCTCTCTCTCGCTCCTCAAAAATTCCTGTAACATATTTAGGTTTAACAGTGAAGTCCACTTTTGCGTAACTGTAGCATATTTTCGTTTTTTTAGGATTATATCAGACATTATATTTCGACACGCGTTTAGGCCTAGGCCCCATATAATGGTCACCCTTTAGGTAAAGCCCCATATATAACTTTGTCTTCTTAATTGCATTATTTTGAGGATTAAATATAAATATTTCGCCCTACCATGCGTTATCAATATCGAACTACAATTTGGGGTTTTGAGATTTTAGGAATAGTCCCCATTAAAAATTGCTGAAATTTGTATAGGTCCACTTTTTGGTATGTTCTAAATATCACCCCTTAACAGTATAACGTTGTTCCTCATGGGCTTATAAACATAAAAGATCAATACATTGGCGAAAATGTAGGGAACTTAATATTAATATATTTGACATCTATTTCATATTTCTGGCCGTCAGAACTTTACAATATATCTTTGACAAACATTGTTTGCGAAGGTTAAAGTTCCAAGGTTAGCTGAATCTTCTCGGAATAGTTTTATTGTCCAATTTACTTTTCTGTGCGACTCCTTTCAATGGAACTACTTTTTGTGCAACTTTTCTAAAATTCCCAGCGGTAACACTGATTTCAACTTATTCCACAGTATACCCATGGTGGAGGATTTGAAAAGTTCGGCCCGGCCGAACTTAACGTTTTTTCAATTTTTATGTGCACTTTATAGTAGGCACCGTTATAAAAAATGGAAAGTTGCGGTTGAAGTTTGTATCGTCAACACAATGGGTCCTTACTTGGCTTCTTAATTTGGATACTCATATCTCAGCCAATTTTTGTCTGATTTTTTTGCAAATCGTATTTACCCAAAACTTTTAAATTTATATTTACACAAAATTGTTTTATTATACCCAACACAACTAGGTTATCAGGGTATTACATCACTGTGTGGCCCCAACAGTTTGTAACGCTTCGAAATATTGGCCCTTGACCCACCTTTTAATATACCGATCGTCATATCTCGACTAGCCGCGTCTATCTAGACGTCTGTCCATTGTAATTTGTAAATACGATACAGGCCACATTTATTGGTCAATCATCACATTTATGAATCGAAAGTTTGCATGTAGATTCGGTTCTGTCCAAAGAAGGCCCCTATTGTTTTGATCCGTTAATATTTAGGGGATGAAATAGATCAAAAATTTTATTTTTGTCTGATTGTCTGAAATTATGGTGCGAACATCATTAAATGGGTCTGACCATAGAATAAACATAATTGTTTTGATGAAAATCGGTCAATACTTAGCGGGCCATATGAACCCAGACTTCCGGTTTTGGCTAATAATTTTCAAAGATGGTCTGTTGATATTTCGTGAATGGAATGGACCGAAAACTTTTTTCTGAATTTCTAGTCGCACTAGATGCGGCAATTTTAACCTTAACATTATACATTTTCCAAGTAATCTGGCAACCACAACTTTTTTGTGTAAGATAACAAAATTTGAATCCTATAGAGTATTTTCTACTTCGAAAAAAATGATCAACAGCTCAACCACTTATAGATCAAGTGGGAGCAAATGTCACGAAATATTATCCAGGTTCGGAATAAAAATTTGCAGAAACTTGGAGTCCAGTCCAGAATTTGTAAAACCGCTCACAGGTGTTAATTATATGCTTAAAGTTTGGCAAGTATTTTTTGAATTTTTATACCATCCATCGAAATAATCATTTACGACCCTATAAAGTATATGCATTCATAATCAGCGTAAAATTCTATGACGATTTAGACATGTCCGTCTGTTTGTTGTAATAACTCTAGCCTCTAAACGAATTGATATAGATTACCAACATTATGCACAGAGCTGTCTTTTGTCCGTAGGCGAGTCATGTTCGAAGATGGGCTATGTCGGTCCACGTTTAGGTATAGCCCCATATAACATTACCCCTCAGTTTTTTTTAGTATTTTGTGCATTTTGAGCGCGTTTTTCAACCGAATTCCCTGTAATCCAATTTTCTCCACTAATACTTCGGTTGCCCCCATATAGACGCCACCATCCATCATTACTCGAAATGGTCAGTTTATACACTACAAAGTATGGATTGCTAAGACGATGTAGAAATTTGTTGAAATCATTCCACCTTCGGAGGATATCGATATAAACCAGTAAGGAAAGTAGTAAAGTCGGACGGGGCCGACTATATGATACCCTTCACCACTTTGGGTATATTCAACAGATGGAATCCTTAAAGACGTCACATTTTTGAAGGACTATTTACATGAAATTAAACATGTCATTCTGCAACCTATACTAAATTTTGGTTAGATATAGAGTTGCTACTTACAATGGGACAAAAATATGTAAATAAATTCAAAGCAAAATATAGAAATCTAAACTGATTTCATCGAAACTTGTCACATGTTCGGCCACATTTTGAGTTCTTCGTTTACTTATAAATCCAAATTTCGTTCAACTCGAAGGATATTTAGGGACTTTGATGCACCATGTACATAAAATCAGACGAAAATATATATGGGAGCTTTATCTAAATCTGAACCTATTTTCACGAAATTTAACACACATCTTTCTACACTTAATTCAGTACGCTATGCCAAATTTCGTGCAAATCGAAGGACTTTGGTGCACCATGTACATAAAATTGGACGAAAATGTATATGGGAGCTTTATCTAAATCTGAACCGATTTTCACGAAATTTGACACACATCTTTCTAGACTTAATTCAGTGAGCTGTGCCAAAATTCGTGCAAATCGAAAGATTTTCAAGGACTTTGTTGCACCAAAAATCGGACGAAAATATGGGAGCTATATCTAAATCTGAACCGATTTTCACGAAACTTGGCACACATCATTCTAGACTAAATTCAGTACGCTATGCGAAAATTCGTGCAAATCGAATGATTTGCAGGGACTAAAGTCCGTAAATCGGGCAAAAATATATATGGGAGCTATATCTAAATCTGAACCGATTTTTCCCAATTTCAATAGGGTTCGTCCTTGGGCCAAATAAGTGAACTGTGCCAAATTTCATCCAAATCGGATCACAAATGCGACCTGTACTTTGTTAACAAAAATACATGGACGGATGGACAGACGGACAGACAGACGGACATACATAAATCGACTTAAAAAGTGATTCTATGCATATTCTCAAAAGGAAGCATGTGTCTATCACGTTTCCTTTTGCCTGTTACAAATATATGCACAAAGACATAATACCCTGTACCACAGTGTGGTGAAGGGTATAAAAACTCGAATCTGACGAGTATGAAATATATCTGCCCGCATTTAGGCCTACTCGCATATAACGAAACCTCCCGATTTTCGGTATTTTTAATATTTAGCGTGAAGGGAAGTATTGGGACACAAAACTAAAATATTAAGTTCGTAACTGAACCGGTTCTTAATTAGGCATAACTCCTCATATAATGATGACCTCAAATATTCGCTAATTTATACACGATGTAGTCTGTCTTGGTCTCGCTTCAGGTATAAGCTCATATAATGTAACCCCCTAAATTTCTGTAATTTGTGTCTTAAATATCGGTCCACGTTGTGGGTTTTTGAGATTGTAGGAGATCTCCTCATTAAAAATTGCTGAAATTAGTATTGGGTGTACTTTGTAATTTACCATAATCGATTGGTACAATTGTCGGTATGGGTCCACTTTTTGGTATGTATCCTATTTGTATACCCTCCACCATTGTCTGCAGGCAGGTCAATTTCGAAGATGGGATTTATCGGTCCACGTGTAGGCATAGCTCCTATATAACCCCCCCCCCAAATCTTCAGTATTTTGGGGTTCTTGAGCGCGTTTTTCAACCGAATACGCT